ATACATCAAACCCCTCAAACATACTTAATGAAATAAAACATTAGAAGCATTTGCTTTTAACTACAAAACAAAAGCTGGGGTGCAAGTCAGTGGTAGCAGTTAGCATGCTTGCTGCCCCAGGCTTGATGCACACGCGGGGTGGTGGGGAGAGAGAATGAGAAAGAGAGACCCCCACACATATGCATGCACACGTGTGCATGTAAAGACATATACACATGCATGTACCCTCTCACACGCCATTAGAAGCAAGAGTATATGCTATTCAGCCTTCTGTTCAGCATGCTACTGTAGATCTGAAGCTGCACACTCAAAATTTAAAAAGAAATTGTAACGTTTGTCTGTTGAAACAGATTCTGAAGACCAACCAAGCTGTGGGAAGACTCGCTGACGGAAAAAGACCTTCAAAGAGTGCACGGAGAAATCATTAAAAATTAATACACAGCTTAAAAGATGATTGTATATAAACTCAGTACTGGAAAGTACTTGATCAGCAACAGAGATAGTTTATAAGAGTATTGTGACAACACAAATTTTAAGATCTATATGATTACACCTAACAAACTCTTTCCCAACTTGGCCTTGAACTCGCTCTGCAGCTCAGGCAGACTCCCAAAACAAACCCGAACTCCTTTATTGGAAACTTCTTGGAAAGCACTGATTCTAGTTTCATTGGGGGGAAAAAAAAACAAAAACAAAAAAACAAACCTTCATTTTGCACTGAAAGTGAATCATTGCTTCCAAACTTCCTTAATGACAAAGAATTATCAAGTAAACTGGCCTGTAGTGCCAGTATTAGTGAATCTGCCTGGGCTGCAGAGCAAGCTCAAGGCCAACTTGGGAAACAGTGAGACTCGGCCTAAAAACTTATAAAAAGAGCTACAGTGAGGGAAGAAGGGAGGGAGAGAGGGAGAAGGAGACAGAGAGAGGGAGAGAGAGACTGAGAGGGGGTGGAAGGGAGAAGACGGCTAAGAGTCCTGCCTAGCTTGCACAAGGCCCTGGTATACTTCCTTGTACCCTCCGTTTCCCAACCTAAATGTAAAAAATGTGTTAAGTAGTCATAGTCTTTAGAAACCTGACTCAGTCAGTCACTCCCATAAGTCCCTACTAACAGGACAAAAATGGGTGGATAGGATCTTGTACAAGGCATTACCGTGTACTCTATAACTGGCTTGTTCAAGAGAAGTGGAAAATAGGACTATTCTAGTCAGGGTCCGTTAGAGAACAGAACTGAGTAAATATATATATACATGGATGAATATACATACATACATATATAAACATGGATGAACATATACACACATGTGTATGTACATATATACACATATGCATACATATATACATGTGTATATTAAGTGAATTTGTGTGTATATATATGTGCATATATATGTATGTGTAGATGTATGTGATTTTTTTCAGGGTGGCTCACAGGAGGTGGTCCAGCCAGGCCAACAATGGCTGTCTACTAACAGAAAGTCCAAAAACCCAGTAGTTTCTCAGTTTATGAGGCTGGATGTCTCAGCTGCTCTTCAGTATACACTGGAATACCAAAGAAGTAGGTTCTAGTGCCAGTAAAGGAATGGATTTTTCAGAGAGTGAAGGCAAAAAGGCGGAGAGCAAAGAGCTTCTGTCCTCCATGTCCTTCTTACAGGCTGCCGCCAGAAGGTGTGGCCCAGGGTTAGGGGTGGGGCTTCCTACCTCAAATGATCCGGTTAACTGCAAACCCCTCACAGGTGTGCACAGCAGCTTGTTTTTAGTTGATTCCAGGTGTGGTTGGGTTGACAGCTAAGAGCAACCGTCACAAGGATGCAGGGGAGCGTTTTCACTTAAAAGTTAAAGAAGTAGTTGAACCAGAGAACGCTCCTATGTTGGCACCTTACCTTCTCACAGTACCAGCCTCGGTTGACGCCCACATTGCCGTGCCCGATGGATACCCGGCTCAGGGGGCTGAGGAGGACAGCCAGATCGATGTGGAAGATGTCTGTGCGGCCCCTGTCAAACACGCCACCCTCTAGGAAGATCTTCCCGCTGTTCTTACTCCCTCTGGCTCCATACATGACCAGGTAGATTTTAGACTTGGTTCCAGCTCCACGGATATCTCCAGTGAAGACAGTGACAATATAGCTTATGGCTGGCATGGAAAGAGAGAGAGAGAAAAAAAAAAGAGGGTTTAAAGCAGCTTCATTGAAATATTCCTCTGTTTCCATCTTGGCTACAGCACTACTCTGCCACACACACCATGTCCACTCACATTTTTTTCACTCAGACCAGTCTCCCTCACAATCTCATTTTGCTTTTCAACATTGTGTTAGTATATGTGAGGTTATACTAACCGCATCTATTATTTCAAGAAACTGTCAGCACTCATTATGGGAAACAGAGAGAAGAGGGAAGTTGAGCTGCTTAAAAATAGTACTGATTATTAATGTAATTACCGTGTGTACATTTTTAATAGCTGCTAGATAAATTTTGTTATGTCTAATCAAATTATAATAGTCAGGTCCATTGATGGAGATTTATATCAGCACTATCTCGTTCATTTAGCTGGCTCTTTTGCTGAAAATATAACTTTTGAGAGAGGGCACTAACATCTCCCTGGTCACCTGGGCTGAGAAAGAGGGAGAGGCACAGTAAGTTGCGTCATCTTGGGTTTTGATCAGTTGGGAGGAATTGTGAGCGCTTGGAATTCTGCAGAAGAACTGCCAGGGCTAAATAAACCCCTAAATAGGGCAAAAAGAACAAAGCAAGGCACAAGTATTTGAAACAGAAACTCTGTTAAAGGCTTGCTGGCACTTTTTTATTCTGTCCCAGGGTTTAAGAACAAAGAAAACAGCAAACATGGCAGGGAGTCGGGGTGGCGGGCAGGCATGGAGATGAAGATGTCCAGAAAACAGAAGGCATAGTGTTAGCAAGAGTGAACCATGGGCAGAGGCAGCGGGGGAGACAGAGGCACTGCAAAGTGGTGGGGGAAATGGTGTCATCGAGTCTCCTGATGGCAAAACTGGAGCCAATCTGTAGTGCGATCTACATGTTACCCTATAAAACTCTGGCTGTGCCTCCAGTCAGGGGGAGAGATGGCCTTCAGGGGAGGGGTAAGTTCTCAGATGTATACAACACGCATGCTTTTTCTCAAACTCCAATGACCACCTCAGACAGGCTTAGAATGGAGGTTTCCTATGGTAAGAGGACTTGAGGAGGCAGACCAAATACCAAGTCTGTCTTCAATAAGCTCTGTGACCCTGGAGAGTGTTCTTAACTTCTATATGCCTCTGATTACTCACCTCATGATCTCAACAAGAAAATGACTATGTTGTTGGTGGCCATGGGGATTAAACAAAACATAAGAGGGTCACAAATTATCCTTATGGCTTCCTCCTTTAATTCCTTCTACCCATCAATGTCTAGGGCCATTACCCTGTCTCCTCAGATATCAACAGCCTTGGCTGCAGCCGAGAGAACCAGACCATTTTCTGGGGCAGCCAAGATGCTGTCTTCAAACCCAACTGGCTCCTGCCTGAGCACAGTATGGGCACTGTCGTAAACCCACAGGCATGGGCACTGACTCTCCAGAAAGGATGATTCAGCTGGGTCCTCACCTCTCTCTAGCCTACCTGTGGTCTCAGCTCCACCCACTAAGATGTCTCTTTGGATTTTTCCGTCATCTTCATCCAGTGCCAGCCAGCGGTTAAGGGGGAAATCATACTTCCTTTTGTTCCCAATATCTTCAATGATAATCTGAGAGGAAAAAGAGAGGAGGGAAAGCGCCTGAGCATCATTGAGGGGTGCACCTGCTAATCTACAGCCCCGTCCAGTCATGGAGAATACTCTAAGAACATGCTCGCGTGTCCTCACATCTCAAAAACGGCTGATCACAGGACACAGCTGCCACTAGGAAATCCTCGTAAAGCCATCCAGGGATGATTATCAATCACCACTACTCGAATCTCTAGCCACTAGTTTCCCACTGCTTGAAGGCATTTTAGAGAACTGAAGCAAAAAGTGTATCAGGATATGCTCAGTGAGCTGGGACAAAAGAAGGGGGCTGGGGAGCAGGTCTGGATTTGAGAAGACGAATTCCTTATTGGTGGGAAGCAGAGTCTCTGCAAGGGGAACTATGGGCTGAAATCAGGACAAGGAATCCTGGGACATGGTGGTCATGTCAGAAAACATCAGCAGCTGCCAGGGAGGCAAATGTCAGTGGCCATAGAGGAAGTCTCTCCACCAAAACAACCATATAGCTGGAGTGGTGAAGCCATGTTATCTAGAACATACTAAAGAGATACTAAATACCCTCCAACTCTTCCTTTTGGATACAGCTATAAAACAAGACTAGAAAAACAGACATACTCTATGATGAACAGTGAAAGCATACACCATAAGGTGCTTTTTTGGAGAGAGAGAGTTGAAAAGCAAGAACCATTATCTGGAAGGAATATTCTCCACTTATCAACAAGCCCACAAGAAAAGCAGATCTTCTAAGAGGCATGAGGGAAAGACAATGATGAGCTCTTTTGGGGAGACTGAGTCCAGAGAAGGGACCTGTCCCTGGTTAAGTTCACTGTATTCTATGGATTCAGGGACACCACATATCCCAAGGCAAGACTTTCCAATGTGAAGGCCAAGAAGGGTAAGACATCCCCTAAGGGAGGACACCCCCTAAAATGGACAGGAAAGCATGAAGCTGCCAAGCAGTGGAGGTTTCTTGTTTATCCTTCCTAAAATGGGCCACAGATACATCCAATGACCCCTGGGCTTCCTCCACGAAGGCTCAGAACACCTGAGTGAAAACATGGAGTGGCCTTGAAGTCACCCCAGCCCCCCTTCTTTCATCCCAACTCACTGAGCATATCCTGTTTAGGTCACTGTGGAGTGTCAGGTGTGACTAAATATCTCGCCGCTCAGTACGGGAGTCACTTCCACCACTTTTACATAGTCTGGTTGAGTAGGACTCTGTTCTTCACAGATGAGGGAAACACACACACACACACACACACACACACACACACACACACACAGCAATTAGGAGAGTCTGGAGGTTCATGGTAGAGACTTGGAGGATAATTAGGCCCCGGGCCCGATGAGAGAACTAGGATTCTAGAAGTTCTAACAAGGTCAGTCTTGGAGGCAGGACGGCAGGAAGTCAGCATGGATGGACAGTGACGTAAGCAGCAGAGTAGGCAGGCTCAGTTTCAGGCCTCTGGGGAGCCAGACATTCCCCTCCCATGCCTCAGACTGCACACAAGCAACTGAACCTACCTTGGACAGGAACCAACCTGCAGAGCTCCCCTTGTTGTTGTGGCCCACATTGATCTTCATCAGCTGCCCCAAATCCGGAGCATCCAGCATGAACTTGTCTTCGGCTCCCTTTTCAAAGTTGTCCTTTTCATTTTCCAGCCTACGCTCTCCTAAATGCACAGACACAAGAAAGTTAAAAAAAAAAAAAAAAAAAAAGACACACAGAAGAGAAGAAAGAAGAACCTTAATGGTCCACCCACTGAAAGAGCTCTTACAAAGTCCAGGGCGGCTCCCTGCTGGGATCTAACAGCTCCTTCCATCCCTCCAGCCTCTGGAAAAGCTCTGTTGGCCTCCTGTGCTGCTGGTGTCAGGGTCTCATAACTGGATTTCTCATTTCAGCCTTATTCTGCAGACTTTGCTGCTGTGAACCAAACTGTACCCCTATCCTAAGACTTGAGGTCCCATCTTAACTTTTGCTTGTCCTAACCCAGAGTTGAGTGTGGTGTAGGGGCTGATGCTGGGATCCTGGCCACTTTGCTCACTGCTCTGCTGGACGCAAAGCCAGTGACTATCAGCAGACACCGTTTGTGTCTGTCATGGATCTTCATCTTACTCCTTGCTACAACCCACAAGGACACAATGTTTAACTTGCTCCTGCAAATGAAGAAACTGAGACTTAGAAATAAATGCTTTGTCCCTTTCTAACCCATTACGCTGTTTTGCAATTCTCCGTTGTACCATAAGTACACAAGTTAGTCTTTCTCATCTCATCAAAGCATCAACTTTTGGCTCAAATCTTTCCATGGTTTCTCTTTTCTAAATTGACATTTTGACACCCAGAAAGACAGAAAAAAGTTACCAGTATTCAGGTACCACCACCCAGATGTGAGGGACAGGGCAGTTGCTAACATTTTCTCTAGTTTGCTTCAGCTCCTTCATGTTTCTACAAAACATTTATTTGTTCTCATTTCATGTGTGTGAGTGTTTGGCCTGCACGTATGTAAGTTCGCTTCGTGTGTGGCTGGGGCCCAAGGGAGCCAGAAGAGAGTGCTACGGCCTGTGGAACTGGGTTGTAAGCAACCACATGGGTGCTGGGACTAGAACTCAGGTCCTCTGCGAGAGCACCAAGTACTCTTGAGCCCTGAGCCATCCCTCCTGCCCCAAGGCCTTTCACTTATTTTTTTTTTAAGGAAACAAACCTAGTAGACATGCCTAGGCTTCCCTGTTGGCCCCTCCTGCCCTCCCCCTCACACCTAGATCTCCATGAGACATAGGCCACTTGTGGCCATTTCCTATTTCTATGTAAACGAGGGCATAGGTGCGGATCTCTCTACCTCAAGTCCTTCATCTTCACTGTGGGGCTGTCAACAGTGACTGTGTCTCTAGGTGTCTGTGTGTGAGATCTGCTACCTTCCTCCACACCACACAGGCACCAGCACTGCCAGCGCTGCTGGGATTGCTGACATCACCACGGGCCCTTGTGGAGTATCTTCCCACCTCCCCAGACTCTGTTGAGAGTGCCCTGTGGGTGCTGGTGACCGTTTGTTCTTTAGCCGCCCTGTCAGAGCCAAGTGATGGCAGCGCCGTTCTGCGTTCAAGCTGTTACTGACCTTACCATCGCAAACATCACTGAGATGACAGCTCCGAGCCCTTCCTCTGCACACACAGGCACGTGGACAGTTGTTCACCTGCTGTGTGCTCATCTTCAGCTTGTCAGGCAACACTTTTCTCCAGAATGCCTACACCCTGCTAATTCCCACCAGCAATATATGGGCGAAAAATATTAGAATAAAAATGACTGAGGCACATTGCCTAAATCGCACAGAGTATATAATACATATTATATATTCTAATATCTTTTGCTCCATTTTTAATTTCCCTATCTTGCCTCCCCATTCACTCCATCTCTGTTTTCCTTCAGAAAAGGGCAGGCCTCCTTCTATCTTTTAAATTTTTCTTAGACTATTCTGTTGTTTATTTTCTGTGGGGTGTGTGCATGTGTGGGTGTGTGCAAACGTGTGTGCATGTGAGTACTTGTGTAAATGTTTGTGTGTGCTTCTCATAAATTGCCTATCTAAATTAAAATTAAGAACACTGTCTCAAAATTCCTTTCAAGAATCCTGATAAATTTCACATTTACGTCTTTAGCTCATTGGGAAGTTATTTCTGTACATTGTGAAAAATAAGAATCTAGTTTCATCTTTTCTCAGATGGCTAGACAGTTCTTTCTTCTGCTCTGTTGGGTAATGTTATTTGCCCTTCTTCTGATACCACACTGTTCTAGTTTTTGAAGACCTGTGACTGGCTGATGAGATGGCTCCATTCATAAGGCCATTTGCTGCTAAGTTGGGCAACCTGAGTTCAGTTCCTGGGACACACACAATGGGAAACAAGAAGCAACTCACAGAAGCTGTCCTCCCACCTCCACACCTATGCCTTGGTGCATGTGTTACTCACACACACACACACACACACACTAAACAAACTGAATAAACGTAGTTTAAAATTTTGAAAATACCAACACCGTCTTAATTTCTGTCAGGGCAAGTATCTCACGTGATTATTATTGTTCCTACTATTTTCTATCCATTTTTACTTATTACAGCTACTTGTTCTGTATGTGGGGAAGCATGCACATGTGGCTGTCAGAGGAAAACTTGAAGGGGTCAGGTCTTCTTTCCCACCCTGCGGTCCCAGGGTCAGAGCGCAGGATGTCCTGTTTGGCAGCAGGTACCTTTATCTGCTGAGTCATCTCTCGGCCCTGTTCATACTGTTTTCATTCCTCAAAATTATGTTGACAACATATAGTTCTTTATGGTTCAACATCTGGATAGCCCCCTAAGCTTTGGTTGTTGGCTTTTAGGAATTTGACTGCAATAGCATCACTTTTATAAAAAAGAACCAAGGAAAATTAGCATCTTAGTAAATTTGAATCTTTTCTCATCCATGGGTACATCGCTTCGTTTATTTGTATATTGTTGTGCCATTCAAAACCCTGTATTCCCAGAAAGCTCTTTCTTTAACGTCATTCTTATGTACTAATTTCTAATGTAAATAGTATGTTTTTACACTAAACATTTAAATTATTTGTTGTTTTAATAATTTTTAAAATTTATCTTTAATCTATTATCTTTAGTAAACTTTATTTTTGTTGGTTCTGGTGATTTTTAACCTATACAAATCCTCCTGTATTTGATAGGTGATACTGTTTATGAAAATGAAAAGCTTGTTAATGGCTCGTTGTACGTCATATCTATAATCCCAGCATTCAGATGGCTGTGGCAGTAGCATCACTATTATAGCAGAAGGCCTACAGAAAGAAAGAGCAGGCAGAGGGAGGGAGAGAGGGCGAGGGAGAGGAGGGGTGAGAGACAGAAAGGGAAAGAGAGAAAAATGAGACAATGGAAAAACAAAGGGAAGAGGAGAGAAAGGAAGGGATGAAAGGGCAGGGAAAATGGTGAGGAGGGAAGGGAAGGGGACGGGAAGTAAGGAGAGGGAAAGGAAAAGAGAAAAACATTTATTCTTGTATTATCAATTATTAAAGCTTTCATTTCTTTTGTGTCTGAAATTCTTTTTTTTCTTCTCTTTTTCTTTATATTTTTATTAATTACAGTTTATTCACTTTGTTTCCCACCTGTAGCTTCCTCTCTCCTCCCTTCCCAATCCCACCCTCCCTTCCTCTTCTCCAACCATACTCCTTCCCCAGTCCACTGATAAGGGAGGTCTTCCTCCCCTTCCTTCTGATTCTAGTCTATCAGGCCTCATCTGCATTGCCTTCCTCTGTGGCCTGGTAAGGATGCTCCTCCCTCAGGGGGAGGTGATCAAAGAGCAAGCCAATCAGTTCATGTCAGAGACATTTCCTGTTCCCATTACTATGGAACCCACTTGGACACTGAACTGCCATGAGCTACATCTGTGCAGGGGTTCTAGGTTATCTCCATGCATAGTCCTTGGTTGGAGTGTCAGTCTCAGGAAAGACCCCTGTGCCCAGATTTTTTGGTTCTTATGCTCTCCTTATGGGGTTCCTGTCCTCTCCAGGTCTTACCCATTTCTTTCATAAGATTCCTTGCACTCTGCCCAAAGTTTGGCTATAATTCTCAGCATCTGCTTTGATATTCTTAATGGTAGAGCCTTTCAGAGGCCCTGTGTGGTAGGCTCCTGTCCTGTTCCCTGTTTTCTCCCTCTTCTGATATCCATCCTCTTGGCCTTTCTGAATGAGAACTGAGCATCTTAGCCAGAGTCCTCCTTTTTGATTAATTTCTTTAGGTGTACAGATTTTAGTATGTTTATCCTATATTATATGTCTAATATCCACTTATGAGGAAGTGTATACCCTGTGTGTCTTTCTGATTCTGGGATACCTCACTCTAAAGTTTTCATTTCTTTTTCTTGTCTTTTTTTTCTGGCCTTAGCTTCCTAGTATTGTGATGAATACAAGCCATAATTAGCCCAAATATATCTATGATAATTCTGGTTTTTTTTCTTTTGCAATATACTACTGTGATAAAAATCAATAAATAGATTAACTAATGTTAAATTGCTGTTGACTTCCTGGAATAAATCTAGTAGAACAGGACATTCTTATTATTTATCTATATATTTACTAACAAATTTAGTGTGCTAATATCTTATTTAGGTTTGGGTTTTTTTCCTTCATAAAAGAATGTAACCTGTATATTTCTCTCTTAATCTTACCTGCCTGACATTTTCATCAAATTCATTAAATGAACTAGATGCACTAGCTTTTTCTTTTCTTTGAAATGATTTATAGAGGATGGACATGAACTATCTCTTAAACATTTGGTAGATTTTTACATAAACAACTTGTGGTTCTGACTTGCTGGTTAATTTTTAATTGGTGTTCTCATTGCTTTAGTGTTGGAACCTGGCTTCTGCAAGCCCTCGAGACAGTCAAACCTTACAGGATGCTGAGATGAAGGGCCAGGCTATGACACGGAGTGGCATCCACAGGGCGTGGACCACCGCTTTTTACCATGCCAAGGGAGAACCTTGTGCTTTACAAGTATGAATGCTAACACAGAGAGCTGGGACTGGTGATCAAGATTCTTCCAGGTCAATTTTTATGAGACTCCAACTCCAGGACAGAGAAAATGCTTCTCCAGTGAGGCAGCGCTGAGATCCCCAGTCCCTAGGTCAATATCCCTCTCCAGAGTCTGCCATCTTGGCTGCCTCCTGCCCAGATACCTAAAATGAGGCAGATATCGAGGCTTCCACATCTGCTGTCAGCACTGTTAGTGTCCTGCAACATATTTTGTTTCAAATTATATGTCCGATGATGAAGATGATGGTAGTGATGATGATGTAGTATCGTGATGGTGATGGTGGTGTCAGTAGCATACCTTTCTTTACTTCTAACAAAGTAGTTTGCCTACATCTTGACCTTGATGGATATGGAATATATGATGCATAGTGTCCATCTTTACATGATGGATATGGATAGTGTTGGTCCAGCTTCTTGGTGAGATTTTTCCAGAGTACTTAATGCTGCTTGATTCATTTCAAATTTCTCCTTTTATATGCTTACGCTGGATTTATTTATTTTTAATATAACATGAGACAATCTTTTATGAAAGTAAATCATGTTAACAGCTTAGGTTGGCTTCAAACTCAGATTCTCCTGTGCCTCCTTTGAAGTTCTGGGATTCTAAGTGCTCCTGGCAAGACTGCCTACTCTTCAGTAACAGGTTTTCCCTGCTCTTGAGATAACCAATGTATTTATCTTTGCTGTCAGTTATGTCTTCTCATTGTTTCTTTTGGAGATACTGAATGCTTGGCTCATTATTCTCTTTTATTCATTCTATTCACTTATAGATTATATATTTCTGCTTTGGGTATTTACTTTTATAATTTTAATACTCACATGTAGCTTAGTAAAATCTGCGGTTCACAGTTTAACTCCTCTGGAGGTGGAGAGATGAATAATAGACAAAGTCTACGTAATGCTTTAGCCAATTTTCTTCTCAAATATCGATCTTAAATTTTGGGTAAATATTTCTTCTTGTCCCTTGTGTTGGTTGCTGTTATGTTTTACGGTTGATTCTTGCTGAGATATGTTACATGGCTATCAATGTTTTGTTCACTTTTGTGTGTAAAAGAGGGGCAGAGTCTTCCTTCATATGTAAGGTAGACTGGCCTTGAACTCAATATGTAGCCCAGGATAACCTCAAACTCTTGTTTCTATTGCTTTGGTCTCCCAAGTGCTGAAATTTATAGGTACAATACACCACACCCAAAAGTACATTCTAGTGGCTATTTAAGCACGGGTGTAGGACACATATCCATTCTCTTTGCTAGAATAAAAACTTGTTAATTTCCCCCCTCGCCTGAAATAACTTATGGAATGTATGGTTGACATGCATTCTTGCCGAGAATATTAAAGGTGTGGTTACATGAATTTATAACCTCTGTTACAACTGTTGATGACAGCAGCGATTCATTTGTCTGGTGGAATTTTCACAAAGTGACCCGCCAAACCTGCTTCCTCTCAGAGCTTTCTCTTTGACTTTGGTTTTACACAGTAATATAGATTCCTTCATAAACTCTAGTCTATGAGTCTTTTAGCTACTTTAAACTGACAATTCAGACCTTTTTAAAAAAATAAAACTTCTGGCCATTATCTATTTGAATATTTCTTCCAACATTCTCTGCTTCTGGAACTCTTACCCAACTTCTACCAGATTTCCCTTCCTCCCCCACTCTCATGGCTTCTCATGTTTCCTTCCCAGCCCTTTCTCTCTGTGTGCCACCTGAGGGTTTGCCCAAAGGCTCACAGTTCATTAATTCTCTCTTCAGCATCCTTAGTTGCTTTGTTTAGCTCACCTGCCAGGTGCTCATCTTTGGTAGCCATCTTTTCATTTCCTGTGTTTTGGTTTGGTTCTTTTTTCGAATGTGCTGTTTTTAATGGTGCTGTAACCTTTTCAATTCCTTCTTTCATGCTGTTAACAGTTTTTTAAATTTTAAGTTATAGGTTCTCCCGCACCCCTCCATTATCTGAAAAGCCTGGGAATTTCATTCTGGTTGTTGTGTGGATTACAGCTTCATCATGGTGGATCACATCCTTAAGTGTTTTAGAGTTTTGGAAAATAAACTCACTCTAAGACTTCATTTGTGGGAATCTTATGCAATCTTGGAAAGGTTTTTGCACAGTGCTAAAGGTTTTTGCTATGGTTTTGTTGTTGTTTTGTGTTTTGAGACAGGATCTGTTATAGAGCCCTGACTGATCAAGAGCTCACTGTGTAGACCAGGCTGGCCTAGAACTCACAGAGATCAACCTGCCTCTGCCTCCTGAGTGCTGATTAAAGGCATGCGCCACCACATCCAACTCGAACCAATATTCTTGTGTGAGGAGAGAGGGACTATGAAATCACACACGTAGCGTAACAATCAGACTTCAAGCTCCACACAGCATAGGTCTGCAGTTGATCTGTGTTTAATTTTTAGCCATTGCAGGGATGCAGCGACTCTGCCTGTGAGCCATTGGTCTGCGTTTCCACGGAAGTTTCTCCAGGGCTCCTGACTTCATGTGTGGTTCTAATTTCAATTTCTTGCCTCATTCAGGCCCTATGTCTCATTTTCTGGCCCCCAGGGAGCCTACAAACCTGTCTTCTAGATCGACGAGAATGACAGCCCTCCTTAGAGGAGCCACAGGATCAGTGCACACAGCTAATACTTTGGTTTTGAGTCTTTCCTTCATGCCTGGTACCTGAGGAGTTTCCTTTTTTTTCATTCAGAAATACATGTTGAATTATTTGATGTATTCTACCCCAAATTTACATGTGTCTGTAACTTTTCTGGCTCCTGTGTTTTCCCACCAAATTGACAGAAGTGACAGAAAAACGCCTGTCTCCACCTGTGACCAGCACTCCCTCTCAGTGCCTGCAGCTGTGTCTGTGTGCAGCTGCCGCTTCACCTGTGAGGCCAGGTTAATCCCGCCCATCCCTCCGTCACACCCCACTTTATCCCACGCCACTACGATGACTTACATTATGCCCCAATGCAGTCCACATAAGCACAGAGCTTATGACAGTTAAGGCAATAAAGAAATTAAGTGAGAGTGAGCTCCTAGGGATGTGAAATTTGGGGTTTTTTTCATGGTTTTGGATACAATTTTAATCAGCCCAAATCCAGGCTTATCATCGTTCTAAAAACCACACATACACACAGAGAGAGCACGTTTTGAAAACCTATCACACACACACACACACACACACACACATATACATTCGACCACACAAAGTAGATACCCTGCGTTTGAGGCTAACCATGGCAAATCACAGCATGAGAAGAGAGCTGCTAAACAGAAGGACCAGCGCACGGGAGGGGCTGGAGCTGCCTTCCTCAGCTGGGATTATAAGAAACAGCTGTTCTAGGGAGCAGTGCTAGGCATGGCTTGTGAGAAAAGGATTCAAACCCATTACCTGTGTCTCCATACTCTCCAAAGATATTGATGAAGACATCAGCATCTGTCCCTGCTCCCAGCACGTCACCAGTGTACACCTTGATTTCATACTTGTTTCCTGGGAACAAGAACAGAGAAAATCTTGCCTCATTAGAAATCCGAGAAGAGAAAACCACAGGCACATACACAGCTACCAAAGCATCCATCCTTCCCACAGATGCCCAGAGGATAATGAGTTATCAGCATTACTGTCACTGTCATCACTGTCAATAACAGCCCAAGAAAAAAGTCACTTACGGTTGGCTTCAAAAGGCCATCACTAAGCTCTGTGTAATACTCAAGTCAGAGGTAAAAGAGACTTTCTGTTTTCATCTAACATACTCCCAAATGGCCACCCCGAACCAACATCTACCATCATATCTCCCTCAACTACTGAAATGACTCTAACTGGGTCCTCTACACACCTATCAGATTTTTCTGTCCATTTTCCACACTGTATAACAATGCTGAAGTTCACTGGAGTGACTGAATTCTGCAGATGAAAATAAAATTTGTATGTATCGAGGCCATAGGCAGCACAAAAACGAAACTAAAATCATCATCAGTGGCAGGCAAAATACATGTTAAAAGACCAACCTCTGCTTCCTGCGTCATTGCCACATTCACTAGACAAAAATCAATTCATTGTAACCCCAAACACAGCCTCAGTCATGGCCTCAAATAGGGCAGGGTTAAAACGCACTTGACAGGGCTGAGCTCTGGCCAGGTCTTGCCTTAAGGTAGGGAATAAAGGCCAGAAGACAGTATGTATGGTTAGGGCGAGGAGACTCTTTCAGGTTTTCTCAGATGGCTGAGACAATTCTCCTTTCCTTTTTTTCCTTCCTTCATGGCTTTTTTGTTCTCTTCCTGCCCCGTTTGCTAAGCTGATTGAAAACTGGTTATTCTAGGCAAGGGCCAGACAGCTGGCCCTTCTGCCCACCTCCTCCCTAGTTCTATCCCTGCCCCCCACCTCCAGCCTCTGAAGGTATTTGTCCTCTGTCTTCTCCAGCTCTGCTGACATCGGTGTGATGACATCAAGTTTTGCCACCACCTGCCTTATCCTGTCTATCATTGCCTGAAAGTAAGTCTCTCATTGCCTCTGAAACTTAGAAAAGGGGATATATTCAAGATGTCTTTCCTCCTCCCTCTACCCACTTTCTTCGCCCCCTTCCACGTCCCCTAGCGCACTGCTAAACCTTCGGGCTGTGTGTTGGAATGCAAACTGAACCCAGTTCCCTGAAGCTTGAAGTCCCACAGAAGTTGTTGAGAGCAAAGAACTAAGGAGAAGATTCTACGCCTGCCCATTTCCCACCTCCAGAATTCTCTGTGGCACAGGATCAGCCTGGAGAAGCCATGTACCACAGAATCTGAAAGGGGCACACAGAGGGCACCCTTCTCCCTCCAGTGCACGGCAGTCGGTCTTTGCCAGTGGAAACATGATGCTTGTAATAGATGGTGTTTCCACTCCACAATCCTCACTCAGTGAGGCCCACAGAGTAAGAGACAGGACTCCTCTGATCCTGAGGTCGGCAACTGAGGGCTCTGGGAGGAACAGTCATTGCCAGAATCTACCTCTGCTTTCTCAATCATGTATACACCTTGACATAGCAGCTGGAACCAGAGCCCTTCAGAAGACACCAGGCCCAGTGAGCCTATGGGAACTGGCTTGACACTTGGGCCTCGAGCTGCCTGGAGAGTGGGTTAAAGCACCTTCCATGAGGGGATTCTAGGTCATGTGGTTTGTAAGTAAGGCTTTAGTCAAAGCCAATTGATTCTGTTCTCATCACCTCCAAGTTTCAGAGGCACTAAACACCATGACCAAGGCAACTTAGAGAAGAAAGAATTGGTGGGAGTGGAGGGAGCAGGGAGCCTATGGTTCCAGAAGGATCAGAGTCCATCATGGCATGGAATCATGGCAGCAAGAGGCAGAAACAGCTCAAACCACAAGCAGGAAGCAAAGAGAGCAAACTCGAAAGGACACAAATCCTTACATTCTCAAAGCCTGTCTCCAGTGACGTAATACCTCTAACAAGTCCACACCTCCTAAGCCTCCCCAAACAACTCCACTAGTTGGGGGCCAGTATTCAAATGCCTGAATCTATGGGGGGGCATCTCATACCACCTTTGCCACAAGGCAAGAAAGACCCTGCTTAGTGATAGCAAGATTGCAGGTTACTGCAGCTGGCCATGACAAGGTGGCTGTTTCCAAGCACCTCACAGTAAGGAGCGTCAGTGGGAGTTCACAGGCATTGTGGAGCAGAGGTAGGAAAAGAGACATAGGGAGGCATTTGTAGAAAGTTTGTTCCGAGTCATTCCAGGACACAGACTTGACATGACTGGGCCAGATCATAAGGAGGGCATTTTAACTCTTCAAGTTTTTTGAAGAGAAAAAAAAATGCAGCAAAGGAATGGAGAGCCCTTTGGGTGAGTCCTTCACCCCTAGAGACACCTAAGCAGTTACTATGTACCACACAGTTGAGCAAGTCTGAGCAAGACCAACCAGTGTGGCAAGGGGAGCCTCCCTCCACGGGCGGATGTGCCCCCAGGTGGCGCTATGTTTGAACATGAAATGCCCCCTACTGCGTCACATTTTGGTCCCTAAATTCTAGTGCTGTTTTGGAGGAGGTTATATATGAGACTGCACTGTGTTGCAGAAGTGTGTCTCTGGGGAGAGGCCTTCAGCGACCTGCTTGTGGTCCTAACCCAAGCTCTCTGCTTTCCGGTCAGCTCTGTGGAAAGAGCTTCCCACCAGCACCCAGCCACTCCGTGATGCCCTTCCCGGCTGTGATGGGCTGAAACACCCTGATCCTGGAGCCAGTAGGCTCTTCTTCCCATAAGTTTTGTTTTTTTTTTTTTTTTAGTTCTGCCTTGTAATTTGTCACTGAAGAGTCAAAAATAACTAACACACATGAGCTTTTGTATGTAGAATTCATCCCAAGATCCACTCATCAATAAGATGGCCAAATGTTGTCAGCCTTGGATGGAGGACCTGGCAACCTGACAACATGAAATTGTCCAGAATGAAGGGGAGGGACATAGAAGGCCTGAAGAAACCCTGCCCAAAGGTCAGGAGGAAATGGCGAAGCCGGGAGAAAGATGTTATGAAGAAAGGGATGAAAGAGGATCCCCAGGGGAGAAGGTCACATCCATGCCAACGCCATGGTGACCTGCTCTCTCGGATGAGTGGTACTAAGCATGCATGTGGGACTTTGCAGCTTACAAAGCACTTGCACGTCTTTGAAGTCGTGTGATCCGGAGGTTGGTCTTATGATACAGGAAAGGCAGGTACCACTGACATCGTAGCTTACAGACAAGGACACCAGAGCTTCAGAGTGCGCGGTGACCTGCCCAGGTCGTGCAGCTGTGAAGTGTCACCGTCTCCTGCCTTCGGGCCCGAGGTTCTTCCAAGATGCATATGGCCTCCCCCGCCCCAAGTGGGGTCAGGATACTTGGCATGTGCCAGTTAGGACATATTCCATCTCTGTTACAACGACTCAACCCTGCTGCTACGGCACAGACGCAACCATATGCTTCTGACCAGGGATGGGTGAGGAGACCTGCTCATAAAGGAGCATGAAGAACTTTCTGGAGGACAGAAACGGTCAGTGTGCTGCAGTAGTGACCATAGGCCTTCCTTTCCCCAAGCACTCAAACTACGCCAAGTGGACAGGTGTATGCTAGACCTCAAGGAAGCTCTTTAAAAAGACCATACTACATGAACAAAATGAGTACAACCGGGTCCCAGTTAAGTTTTCCTTACTGATGCCTCATTGGAACCCCAGAATTTTGTATACCATGAGTAATATTTGTCCTTTGGCTTCAATTATTTAAAAACATATATAAGTCATGATTTGCCCACACAAACAGGTGGCAGCTGGGTTTGGCTTGGGGATATAGTGTGTTCCCAGGTCTGTGTGTGTCTGTGTCAGGCACTCAGTCCTCAGGTGAGAGCAGAGCTGTCGCGTCACAAAGTGGGCTGTCCCCACTGGATAACAAGTGTTTTAACCGGTGACTGGTGACCGCGCCTCCTAGGGCTCTGGAGACTGGGGACTATCTCCTTTCTCTGAAGGGGTGGAGCATGTCCCCGGGGTGAGGGCAGTTCGGGGCCAGCTCTCTCTGCCCACACCGTGCAGCATGCAGTGGAGGCTAAGTCTGGAAATGCAGGATGACACAAGCACTCAGCACCGGTGCACCTCACTCCACACACACCCTGCCCTTCATCCCTGCCTTGGCTCAGAGGTAGTGCCGAGCAGAGATAGAAAGAGTGTGGGGGGGGGGGTGTCAAATTGAAGAAGGAGAGTGAGCGTGGCGCAGGCTGTGGGAACCGCCTGAGCCAGCTCTAGAATTGGCTTGTGATTTGCCCATTTGGTGTGCTACTTGTAAAATTCTACCGAAACTGACTCCGTCCTTTCAGCAGGGTTACCATAAGCCCTTCCAGGAGCTTTGTGCAAATAAGAATCCTTGCCTCAAGACACTCTGGCGCCATCTGTTGGACAATTGTATTGAGCACACAAATCTATGTCTCCTGAAAAAGTTGAGCAGGGGAATATATCTTAGGCCAGCAACCTTACCACAGCAACAGCCTTCCTTCGCTAAAGGTCAGTGTAAGTTCAGAAAGGCCAAATTAATTCGAGCGTTACTCTGAACAACACACAAGGAGGGAGGCAGAGCCCGCCTTGAAATAGTGCATAGTGCCTTCCAAAGCTACCGCAGCCAAGCTGTGCTGGGGAGTGAGGGTCTGCTTGTACCTCCCAGGCCTCTTGTCCTGCTCCGTGGATGCACACGGCCTTGCCCTGTTTCCTCTCTGCAGGCTGGAGGCAGAGGTACGAGGGCTGCCACCCTGCCAACAGGAAATCTGTCCCTGAAGGCCAGCGGAAGCACCTGTGTGGGCTTCCCAAAAAGGCAGAAGCTGGCAGGCCCTGGCAGCTAAGCCTGGTGTGCCAGCCACCCCCGCAGCCTCCCCTGCACTGTCTGGAACAGTCAGCACACAGCAGCGACACAAAACGTCTCCGGAGAGCGCCCTGGCGGAGGGGAAGGCTCGGGGATGAGGAGCTGGTTCCCCAAATCTTGGTGTGTAAG